TAATGAAAGGAGTAATGCCCTTATTTTACTCACATCCTGAAGCTGTTCCTCAACTGGAAACTATGTCACATTCTAAACCTTCTACATCTGAAACTAAGTGAGTATTTGAACAAAAACTATAAATAATAAAAATGTTTTTTGTCTTTGTTTAATTAATTTGAATATTCTAAGTATTAGTACAGGAACCAATAAATTTTGTAATTTTTTAATTACCTATTCATGTTATTTTAATAACACAATAATATATGTAATTATTATATGTTTTCTTATTGTTTAAATTAAAATAGGTTTCATTTATCTCAAGTAAATGTATATTATATTTACTTATTATATAGTTACACGTCACATAATTAATTTAATTTGTAAATTGTGTAGTAGGAAAATGGTTGCCAGTATCGCATCATTCTGGAAATATCTAATTCGTATTCTTGGAGACTTGTCTCGATTCTGCTTACGATTCTTTAAGTCTTTCAAAGTCATCCGTTTTTTCCGCAGGTACAGTCTGAAGAACATCTAAAGCATCCCCTTGAAAGGCGATGGTCACATTTACTGACTTTTCTCGTTCAAACGTCCACGACGAGATTAAAAAATAATTGGGCAGTATAATAACCGATAATTGGACCAATCTCTTAAAGGCTAAGATACGCTAAGATACTTCTGGGTGAATATAACCAGGAAACCATGGCAGAAAACATCGGAAGCCTGTGTGAGATCTGTATACCCATTTATAAATGGTAATGTTAGTACCCGTGATGCCATCTATGTTTCAGCTTCATATAAGTGTTTCTTCTTATATCACAGTCATCTGTAGTCTGTGACGACGTAGGATTATAGATCGTACGTAGATGCCGCCACGAGTACTAAATAAGAGTCAGATGCGCATTGTCTCGTATTACAAGTTCGTATTTGATCTTGAGTTTTGTCTTGTATTATAATATAACCATTACTGAATTACTGTGTTTATCAGAATACTAGAGAATAAAAGCTTACAAGGTGTTGTTTTATTGAGTAGTGTATAAGTTTGTTAAATGTCAGGTCGTTTTTTTATTAAAAATCAGGCTTTTTTTGTCCTGGTTGTCCTACTTTTCTGCAAATAAATCTGGTCACCCTACTTAAAGGACACCTTAGTAAACTGAGAGTAGATAGAGGATGAGGCTCATATTCAACATTTAGAAAAAGTTCAGCGTAAATTTGTCAAATATATGGCTTTTAAAATGGATGGAGTGTATCCTACCCGTGGATTCGATCACACTCGGTTACTTCAAAGGTTCAACTTGCCAACTTGCAAGGATAGACGAGTTTATATATCTCTAATTTTTTTGTACAAGTTGGTTAATGGTATGATTGATTGTTCTGATTTATTATACCAACTAAATTTTTATGTTCCCTTAAATACCAGATCCAAAAATCTGTTCTACCTACTCTCAGTAAGTACTAATATCATGCTAAAATCGCCTTTACATATCATGTGCAGGGAACTAAACAAAATTAGTCCACATATTGATATATTCAATCAAACTTTATGTAGTTTTAGTAAGTCAGTGAAAAATATCTTATTTAATCAATAATATACTTGGCGGGCTGTATCCTATCAAATGTTCATTTATTTGTAAACTAATATTTTTTTTAATTACTTTGTATATTTTCTTACTATTCTTATCTGAATTGTCTTATTAATGGATGTAATTCTGTTAGACAATAAAGCTTATTATTATTATTATTATACTGAGTGCAGATTCTGTGAGGAGGAGGACGAAACCTCCATTCACATTCTAACTGAATGTGTAGTACTCCAGAATCCAAGGGCACTATACCTAGTAGGAGATATCAAATAGAAAAGAGAGAGAGATTTACCTAACGCGATGCCACTCCAAATCCTACACTTCCTTGGGAAGATAGGATTGGAAGGGTCGTTATAGGCATTGAGACATTTTCTTGGTGCATTAGCGACAGAAGGGGCACAATAGATCTTTTAGGTCGCAGTGTATTAACACCCCATTCCCAACAACAACATACTTATTATCACGTCTCATAATTAATTTAATTTGTAAATTGTGTGATAGGAAAATTGTTGGGTTTTATTTATTTGTAGTTAATGAATATTAGTTTTAGTTATCTAGGTACCTGTCACATAATTATTTGATTTATAAATTATGTGAAAGGAAAATTGTTGGCAACTAAATTATTATTATTATTATAATCACCCCATTATCCATTATTAATTGTTATTAAACCAAATGAGTACAATAACACAACGTCTCTAAAAAAATTGCTTAACGTTGTTCTATTTCTAACTGACAAGAATTCATCGAAATTAAGTTTTATTATTTAAAATATTGTGTATTAGAAAACCTTGGCAATATTTTAAAACAGTAATTATGAACTTATCATTTATTACATAAGTATCGCTTTATTCAAAAACTGTTATTATAACATTTGTCTTTGTTTTGTTTTCCAGATCTAACCCAACTATTTAAAAAAATGAATTACATATCTATTATAAAAATTGTTTTTTTTAACCCTACTTTCCCAATTATTAAAAACCATAAATATTTTGTGCACAAAATTTAATTAACTTAAAAGGGACTAACAATAAACAGATACTTTATTCTATTTTTTATTACATATATAAGCGGTACTCATAACAAATCAATAAAAATAATTTACAAAAGAATCGATATTATTAAAAAATATTAGTACAAAAATTTAGAATTTATAAAACCTATCATTGCAACGTTTATTCAAATTATTTGTGTATAAAAATAATGTATGTTTTTAATTTAAAAAATATATGTATTGGTCGACTGAAAAATTCATTTTTGACGGTTTTCTATAAACATCTCATATTAGAAACATTGATCCATTGAAATATTTCAAAACTAATAAAATAATATAAATCAAAAGCATTTCTATCGACATTTATTTGATACGCTACTGGATAATAAAACTAACAAACCCCGCTCTTCCCCTCCTAACAACTGGCTTGTATATGTTGCTTTCAAACAAACGCAATGTAAATTTTTGACATTCAGTTATCTATTATTATTTATTTATCTGAGGGGATACCCTGTAGGGATATATAAATTCAGAAAACAAAGGAAATGCTGTAGGTCAAATAAAAAGAAGAGCAAGAAAAAATTGGGTTAAAAATTTCCAGAAATAGAATCAATTTTATGCCCGTCTAAATCTATTTGTAGAAGCTTTTATTGAATATATATTAACTATACTATAAACTAATCAAAATGAAAGAAAAACCATTCCTTTCTTTCGTTAAATCTTAAAAAAAAAACAGATTTCAACAAACTTTTAGAGAAAATTTCAATGTAGAAAAAAGAAATTGTTTTGATTCGTTGGTATATTTGTCGGATAAATTGTTATTTAGTACTTATTACTATTCGTTTAACAATTATTAATAAATTATATAAATATTTTATTCTCTCAATACTTGTTATAAATCGCTATAATAGGCAATTTGTTTTATACATCTGTAATATTAGTTGCCTATTAATAAGTTATTAGTATGAATCAGAAATAGTCACATACTTTGATTTTCTTTTACTATACGGAGAATAGTCGCACTGCGCAGCTTTCTGAGTGCCTTTTAAAAGGAGATAGAAAACTCTGTCATTTTGAACCCTTATTACGTGTTGCCTACATCTTGGCGCAATATTTTTAATAGGTGCATTTTAATCATCCGTTTCTGCTTCGGAATTGACGGTTTTCTTGCTTTAATCTGACAGGTTAAAACGACTAAACCGACAATTCCGGAAGCAGAAGCGGATGATTAAAACGCACCTGATATTTTGCTTGCTGCTATCAGTGTCAGTGAATAGAAGGTCTTTTCCTTTTGCATCGACAGTGTAGCACTGAGCTACGTTACTTCTGAAAATGTCGTTCCATCCATACAATTTGTATAAATGGAACGATATTTTTAGAAGTGGTGTAGCTCAGTGCTACACTTTCGATGCAAAGGAAAAGACCTATTATTTTTAGAGTCACAGTTTATTGCTAAAGAATCAGTTAGCTCACTCGAACCAGTTGAAAATTCCAAAATAACATCCACTCCAGGGATACAAATTCAGGATACGCAGAAGACTGCTGTTTTATTATAGGCGGTTGTCATATATTGTATTATCCGAGTTGCGCAGTGTATAAACTGGAACATTGAGAGCAAAAGTGCCGACGCAGAGTGAGCGATCTGATTCTTTAGCTATAAACTGTGTCATAGGAATCAAAATGGCCGCGTCCTATGTTGGGCGTGTCGGATCTCTCTCTTGCCCCGTATAATAATCAAAGTATGTGATAGAAAGCCAATTACATATAACAAAAATGGCATAATGGTGCTGGCTCGGACAGGACCGGTGCAAGTTTTTTATTAATCAAACAAATAGTTCACACGATGTTTCAAGGGTCATTCAATAGGTAAAGAGCCAAATGGCTATAGCCCAAAACCGGTAATCTTTTAAAATTAAGGCTATTTTTCAACATAATCACCCCCACAGTTATACACTTGTCCCATCTTTCTTGCAGCTTCCAGCTTCTTTCGATTTACCCCGAACCCACTTTTGCACCGATTCTTTAACTTTCTCATTGTTAGCAAATCTTTTTCCACGTAGGGCACCTTTGAGTGGTCCAAACAGGTAAAACTCAGATGGGGCGAGGTCGGGACTGAAGGCAGGATGAGGTAAGACCTCCCAACCCAATTCTTGAAACTTGTGACGGGTCAGCTGGGCTGTATGAGGGCGGGCATTATCGTGCTGAAGAATGACTCCTTTTGACAAGAGTCCACGGGGTCTGCTCCTGACAGCTGGTCTAGATTAGATTATTATGCTAGAAACTTAAAAATCTTAAAAATCAATACGCCATCTACCCACACTTGCTTTCATTTTATAAAATTTATTGGCTGAAATCATAATTAGTTTGATTAGCAATAAAAGTAATTATCTAAAACTTTTTTGAAATACTTTTATTAAAAAATATGTACAAAAATTTAAATACAACTCTCTCTCAGTCAATAAACACTTCTTCCTCAGAATTTCCTTTGGAATGTTTGATAATTGTTTTTGTTGCCATACAGCTGCTGTTGATTATTATAGATAGGTTGTTGCACGGGTATTTGTCTCTGCGCCCTACCGATTTCATTATCTTCTTCTGGATGAGCAGCATTCCATTCAAGGGCTTTCTGGATAGCTTCTGGAATTGGCGGAGGAGTAGGAAGATGGTCTCCTTGCGGTTGGAAGCCGTTTTCGTTGGCTATGTATGTCAGGGATATTGGAGTTCCATCATCGGATGTATATTGGACTGAACCTTGGACATCTGGACCTTCATTTTCTGTTCCTTGGTTTTTGAGTTGGCCTTGTTCTTGGGCTTGGATGCCGTTGCCACTTTCAAAACTAAAAACAAAAGAAGAAAAATGTTATTAGAACTCGATAGTTATTTGCTTTTTTTAGAAAACAGTGTACTGTAGCGAAAAAAAGGAAAGAATACCTGTTTTGTGTGATAATGAGTATTAAGAAACTGCGATGATCTGGGAAGAAGAGTTTTGGTGTAAATGTCACTCTTTCAAAAAAAAAACGAATGAGGTTTTAATATGATGTTTGAATACAAAGTGATTCAGTAGTTTCGGAAAATAAAAACAAAAAATGCGATGTTTAAATATATATACTGTATTATTTTGACAGCTTCATTTAGATTTACGATGTATAATGTACCTACTTTAAAGTAGTCAATTGTTGTCACAAAAAACTAATAAAATTAGTAAAGACATCAATAAGATTTAAATATAATAGTTTTTTATGATACAAGTGTTCCAAGTCCAAAGTAAAAAACGTTTGTCATTTTTAATATGAAGTTCTCATTATTTTACTTTTAACACTATGTTAAAAGTGAATCAACGTTTAACGCCCTTGTCAAAAAATTATATTTTTAACACTGAAACCAAACACCAAAAATCCAAATCCGATCAATTTTGGGAGATTTTCACAAAGTGTTACTTTTTGAGTCTCATTTTGTTTCGATAAAAACTTAATTTTTAGTATGATCATACAAATGAAACACCAGGTCCCAGATAGCAAGGGACATCGTTTCACGTCATAATCACGTTGAATTTTGGTCAAAGACGTCGATCATGGGCGAAGTTAGGGGGGGCTTGGAGGAGCTAAGCCTCCTAAAAATCAAATTAGCCCCACCAAAAATAATTCGAAGATTTATCGCACACCCACCCATAAATTTCAGAACATAAATTCAAAAACGAAAAGAATTGTGCCATTTGATTAATTCTGCAATTCTAACTTTAGTCCAGGAGGCAGTGAATTTTTTTCGTACTTATTTTTCCAGTCTGTGTACATGAAAACAAACTGTTCTCCTAGTGACAAAAACAAAATTTTTGAGTCTGGCATTTATTTTCCCAGTCATAAATATTTTACATTTACTAAATTGAACATACAGTTTATAAAAATAGTAATCTGGATTATCTCAGCTATTGGAAAGTAAGTCTGGCTGAAAATTTTCGGATTAAAAAAATTGACTGATATTATTCCAAGCTTGAAATTTAGCATATAAATTGATACAATTATAAAGTGTAATTAATAATGAGTCTGGTTGATTTATGAAATTGGCAAATGAGTCTGGCATCTGGCAAAATCGGAAAAATATATTACTTTAGAAGATAGAAGAAAATTATAATTTTATACCTCTATTTTATAGCCGATCAAATGATGTTATTTTAAAACGCTTCCAAGATAACCAGAACAATTTCCGGAAATTTTTCTCTTGGTGAGTACCCTGAACGAAATTATATTGAATTTTTCACGAAAATTCTGATTTCAAGATTCTTACAAATTTAATAAGCTTAAATTTTATTTTATTATAACACAAAATAATAAAGGTCTATTTGCATTAGAAAATATTTACTATAATTATAAGAAAAGGTTAGTAAAATATGCAAAACTTATTTGCGAAGTCTAAAAGGACGTACTTATCTACCTACCCACATTTACTAAAAATATTCATTTTGTAGATACGACCTCTTATCTTTGTAGGACAAACTTTTATGTACCATTTAGGTTTTGAAGTTATAAAATTAATATTTTGTTTTAATTATAGTTGGGACACCCCAGAGGACAGAGGAATTTCGCATATTTCCTAAAAACAATTTTGAAAAATGTTGTTTAGTGGATGGGTACTAGTGAGAATCCTATTAAAAAGCAAGAACGGCCTCATCTTATTTCAAGATTACTAATTTCTTCATTGAAACTATCCTATAATTCAACCAAAGTGAATATATTTATGTGAAAGATCATATTATTATTGTAACAAATTTAGTTGTATTGGATTTAAGAACAAGGTATTATTGAATATAAATAAAGTATATTTAAAACAAGTGTAAAATTATTTCATTTAAGATGTACCTAATACTAAAATTAAGCAATTAGGCATTCCAACGATCTGCCAAACTGCTGACAAGTGGGAACAAGTGGGAACTGACATTTAGATATGACAACCCTGTGAGCTCTTTGAATTGTAAGCCTGTTGTCATTGACAGGATCAATGATACATATATAGTTATATAGATTGCTCAAAGCGGGTCGTTTACGAGCGGCCATATTGCCTCGCAAGTGCTCATTAATCAGAATCGATTTTGCAAAAATGTGTTTATAAACCAATATTCAGCATTTGGATAGAGTAAAAAAAATAATTGCCTATATTTTTACTTCAAGACATAAATTTATGTTTATTTTGAAAAATATGGATGATCAGTCTATGTAACTATCTATTTCATTGACCCTATCAAATCACCAGGCCTACAGGGTTGCAATAATTTTACCATATAACCAGTCAAAACCCACTAGTAGCTATTTTGTTTGGAATGCCTAATTAATAAGAAGGTAATTCATACAACATCCTCTTTTAGCGGTCATTGTGACACCAAAATAAGACGTACTAGGACGTCATTTAGGGAGCAGTTTGTCACGTTCCGAAATGTTGTTGTTTTACATTCTATTTATTACTAAAAGTATCTTTAGTGTTTATATTAATTTATGATTCTCATTTTGAGTCTAGAGATTTTCCTTTTCATATAAAATTTTATGTTGTCGACACTGTTTGGAAATGTCAGATGTCACGTCATTGTCCAAGCTTTGTGGCATTTGCAACTAAAATTTTATCGTTTGATTTTGCATGTTTTCGAAGGTAAGTAGTTAGAAACTTTCCAGAAACGGTTTCCAGAAAATTGGTCTAAAAACATTTAGTCTAAAACATTTAGTCTAATATCAATTGATCTAAATACATTTTATCTAAAAACCAATTGGTCTAAATTGCATTTGATCTAAAATCTCTAAGTTCATCAGACCTAAAAGAGAATTGGTATACATGACATTTTGTCTAAATACAATTATTATAATTACTACAAATGAAAATTTTTGTATTTTGGATAATTTATTAATTGTCAGACTTGTTCAAATTTAATATAACATAAACTTACAAAATTGAAGGAAATCAAATCGAAATATAAACATGAAAAAACAATGAAAAATGATGAAAGAGGCTACTAAATGAAATTACTAATTCTTTGTAATATTACTACCAACTGTTCATCGTCTAATTCATTAAAATCGCAGCTTAGCACTATCCTTCTAATACGTTATTTAGTATCCTTATATATTTTTTTAAAGTTGCTGTTTTGCATCAAATTGTTTTTTAGGGAAGAGTGCCATCCAGAGATAACATAGATATAACCATTCATTGTTAAATATCATATTCACGATGCCAAGATTAATTCGACAATCGATACACTCTGTTTGTAGGGACGGGGTGAGGCGACGAAAGATGAGAAGTAAGAGAAGGGATAAAGAGAAGAATTTTACGCAGATACAACGTATTTTTATCAATGAATAAATGTGTAAGCCGCTGTGCACTTATAATAAATAGCTTAAATATCCGTGCCGGTGTAAGCCTTGTTGCCACTTTCAACCTAACATCACTAGATATTGGAATTTATTGAAAATTATTACATCTAATTTAGTAAAATTACATCTAATTTAGTTAAATATAACTAATGATTCAAAATTTTTTGGGTTGAGTTGCAGTGAAATAGGTCGAATTATTTTAGCTTTTTTAATATATGTAAATAATTTTGTAAACAAAACGAGAATAATGAAAAAGGCATATGATAACAGCGGATATTATACCCTCCTATTATGCCTTCCTTTAAAATATGTCTTATTCAGGACCGCACGATATTTGTTAATAGATACATCTCCTCGTTATCTCTGGTGCTATCCCTCAATATGATTGTTAATAGTAGGCAAGTTACTTTGAATCGTATCAAAACTGATCCAAAGCATCTGAGGATAAATAGGTGGAGCAATGTTTCTTCTTTGGAGATTTTTATAATAATGAAAACCTTCGAAATACAATGTTTTCTCCCTTTCTGGCTCAATAATAATTCCATATTTTACACATTTAATAATTATGTCTGATTTTAATTTAAAACCAAATAAATGTCAAAGCCTTATAAACCTTTTCATTATGTCAGGAGCGCGAGCACAGCCACCATGTTGAAATAGCGGTAATTCAAAAGTTTTGTACTGTTTTGATCGACAATGGGGAAAAGCAATATTATCTCTACAGAAAAATTAATCATTAGAAAAAAATCGTAGATGGTGATTAACTTTTTTATAACTCTGTGGAAGCGTATAGTTGTGAGCAGTTGAAAAGGGACTGATTGAGAGGTTAGGTGTATTAATACTGCTTAACTGTGTAAAAAATTATTGAAAATAAATAATAATTGTAACTCCATTCTAATTAGTTATGCCAACCAACTATTAGTACTTGCAAAAACACTTTAACATGATAGTTAATCACTAGTATAATTAATAAAATAAATTAAAATTTTGAGGACCAATATGACATTTTTAATCATATTACTGTGTATACCGAAGTAGTATTTAATAATAAAAAAATATTGTGTAATACCAGATAAGAATTTTCTTCTGTTGGACCATTTTCTTCATGAAAATGTAGTGAACAAATATAAGTATCTTTAGTAACATCATCAATACATCGAAACCCACTTCGACCACATTTTTTTACACCTAATGCACATTTTGCGCTTTTTGAACATGTTTTAATATGGATTATTGGCCTGATAATTTGATATTTTTTTAACGATGTTGCTGCCAAGGCTTTGGAAAATTTATTAAATAATATGTATTGCCTCTGAATGATTTATATTGTGTGTCACTTTTACATACTCCGTAACAACACCGTTTCGTTTCCATTCAAATAACATAATTATAAATGATTGCAAAAATGTATTTTTCAATTAAGACACTAAACTTATTATTACTTTACTTTTTCTTGCTTTTGTTAAATGAATATACCTAAATTAATA